GGGGGGTCTCAAGGGACAGAACCTCCCCAGCCCCACCATACCTTCTCCTCCTTCACCACACTGTGGTCTTACTGTTTGACCATGAACTGCAGAGATGGTAGGCTCAGAGCAACCCTGCTGCACCGGCCTGGAAGGGGTTAAAGGCATGAAATGTTAACAAGCCCCTTCTCACTGCTATTTATACTCAGGAAGCTCTTCTCCACCCCCCTACCCCACACCCTCACCCCCCCACTGCTCCTGCTGCCTGGAAACTTGGGCTCGCAGCTTCCCTTGCACGCAGCACAAGCCAGCTAATTACCCACCCAGGAGCTGGAGCGAGCTGTGCTGCTGCACACCAGCCCGAACAGAGGAAGAAGAGCCACCATTACCAGGGCCGTGGGGAAGGCGAGGCAGAAACCCCCTCTCCATCCCTCCCTGGGAGAAGCAGCCCAGCTGTGGAAGGGCTTTGCTGGCTCCTCACTCGGTCCCTTCATCCCCCATGGGAAACACGCTGGGAAACGGTCCTGGAGGAACTGATGGTCAAGGGCAGGTCCAGGTCCTCAGGACCCTGAAGCAGCTCCAGAGCACCAGGTGATGTATTAGGAAGGGCTGCCTGTCCTTGCAGGGAAGTCTTGCTTTATCAGGGAGGCTTTGGCTACACCCAGCCTTGAAGTTTTAACTCCAGGTACCCGTCATCTTCTGACCCTCGGTCCTGAAGCTGTGTCCTGCTCCTGCCTCAGTTCTCAGCACTGAGCTGGAGAGGTTGGGCCGTTGCAGCTCCTCCTGACAGTAACAGATACTTGCAGGACCAGGCTATATTTAGAGAGGCTGCTCCTTCTTATACCTTCTTGGCTCGTGGCAGCTGCAGGCACGGGGAGTTCCCCAAGCCGGGGATGTATCCGGACCATCTGCTTAGAGTTAGGCTGGTCCTCTCCACAGCAAACTCCCCTGATCCCCCTTTGAACACTCTGGCTTCTTCAGGATCCCAGGCAAAATACCCCTAATCCCTTTTAGGCGAGATGAAATGCGAGGAAATGTGTTTTTTTTTTCCAGCAGAAGAAGGCAGAAGAGCTGGCATTATGTGTCAGAGAAAACCAGGGAGCAGATACCAGTGTGGGAGAGCAGGGGATGTCTGTGGAGACCAGCAGTGGGGAAGGATAACCAGGGAATAAGATGAAAAAATAGTTTTAATAGACAAAACCATGAGGAAGGATGCCATCCAGGTTAGGAAACCTCTGTCCCTGGCCTGGCCAGGGTGAGATGGGGCTGCTGGCACCTTGCTCTTAGCAGTGGCTGGATCTGCCCACCGAGCTCAGAGGGACCAGTTGGACCAGCAACGTGGCGTTTGCTGGCCTGGGAGATGAGAGTGATGCAGCACAGCATCTGCACCCACCCTTGGGGCTTCTTATCTCCCCCGGCTCAGACTCCAGCCTGGAGGATGGTTCCATACAAAGCTCAGCTGATTTAGGTGTGGTGAAGTGGACTAGGAGCAAAAATTCTCCCCAAGTCATTCACCTGAACGTTTTCTTTTCCTCCCTGGTTTCCAAAGGCCTCAAAGGTGTTGAAAGTTGTATCACACTGAAACCAAGTGAGCAGAGAGGAAGGGTTGAATAGAGCCTCGAGGGAATCAGAACTAAATGTGATGTGTGAGCCAGAGGCTGCTGGACCAGATCTAAGTATCCTACCTGGTTCTGTGCCTGTCCCCTCACTGCACATCTGCCTGCTAAGCTGTGAGCAGGGACCTGAACCTGGGTAGCCAGAACCCAGCTGCCAGGCAGCAAGTTTGCACCTGGCTGTCCCTAGGAAGCCGTGCCCAAGGTGCCCCTTGGCATGAGGAGCAAGATGAGGTGCCAGCTCCACAGGAGGAGACGAGGAGAGCGATTCCTCCAAAGCAAACTCATCCTGCAGTGATTCCTGGATACCCCTAAACAGAGAGCTCCCAAGGAGAAAAGGAAGGTCATGAGCAGAAAATAAAAAAAAAATCCTTGTCGGTGCCAGGGCTGGCAGCCCAGTGCCAGGCTGGCTGAGCCCTCCCCACACCTGGGCACCTCTCCTGATGGGGCAGAAGGCTGGCATGGGGGCACCAAGCCTGTAGCCTGCCCAGCGCCCAAGATAGCCCAGCAGCTGCCCGGGACCTCGGCCAGGCACCGGCCCTGGGCAGTCCCAGATTTGGACGTGACCTTTGAGCCTTGCACCACTGCCCAAGGCTGTGGCCGTGGCTGCGTTCCCCTGCTGAGCAGGGACCCCCTCGCCCAGCCAGTGGCAATAGGAGGAGGAGGAGGGGGGAGGAGGAGTAGCCCCACTCTGCCCTTCCCAGCTCCTGCTTGTGCCCAAAGGGGAGCAAGGGGGTTCCCAGGGAGTGGGGTGGGACCAGGCACACCCCTGACCCTTCTTCTCTGCTGCAGTGAGGCTCCACGACAGCATCTCTGAGGAGGGCCACCACTACCTGATATTTGACCTGTGAGTAATGGTTCTATCCATCTCTTCATCCACCCACAGCTGCGTGCCTCCACCCCGGGGTGATGCACCCTGCAACCCCCCAAGCTTTCCCCCATCCTCCACCTCGCCCACGCCCTTCCCACAGGCTGGGTGGGAACCAAGCTTGAGTCCCCCAAACTGGGCAGAGCCCTGCCCTGCCCCCCCAGCGCTCCCCCTGTGCACGGTGCAGCATTGTTTTGGGGGGATTTGGTAAGGCTGAGCGTGCTGTAAATCAATCCAGCTCCACGCTGGGGTGCCTGGTGTGACTCCCCCCCCGTTTTCTCACAGGGTCACTGGCGGGGAGCTGTTTGAGGACATTGTGGCCAGGGAGTACTACAGTGAAGCGGATGCCAGGTGAGCACAGACACATGCTGGGCCACGAAGGGGACAGCAATTGTCCCCTTACCCCACGAACTGCTCCTTCCCAGGCTTCTACACATCTGGCTTTCTGCAGCACAAGCTCCTGCCATGCTGGGAGGTGTTTTACAGCTGCTCTGCAGCACGCACTCGTAAAACAGATGCGTGGTGCAAAAGAAACAAAGCAAAAAGCTCTTTTCAACTCACTTGGCTCCCGTGCCAAGCAATGCGTGTGTTACCAGAGGGCTGCTCCCACCTCCAACCAGCCATCGCTCGCAGCAGCCCACGTCGGACCTCCCTGGAAAGGAGCAAAGCATCTGGGCTCCCC